GAGAGAGAGAGAGAGAGAGAGAGAGAGAGAGAGAGAGAGAGAGAGAGAGAGAGAGATCCCACATGTCTGTCATCCCACTGTCCCTTCACACTTCTCTGTCACTGCTGCTCTAGGCTACCCCAGGTAGCTGCTGCTGTTTCCTACATGCACTTGGGATCTGGGGTGTGTTACCTGTTGGGAGTTTCTTCCCTGTATCTCAGTGCACCTTGAATTGCAGTGTGAGCGCAGCTGTGCAGCATTCCCTGTGGAAATGAGCTCTGCTAGTCATCCACTGACCAATGCCAGGACACACAGTGACCTGGGGACTTTCTGACTCCCGGGTAGGACTTTGCATGGACATGTGATTCCATGTTACCCAGGGACCTGTCCAGAAGTGGGGTTGCAAGGTTCCATTCTCGTGGGATCACTGCCCCTGCCTGGCTGCAGTCTTTACCTGTTATTGCACAGATGTGTGGTGGTGTGCAGCTGTGGCCTCCCCAGTGGTTGAACAGTTTAACACACTCGCTGTCTGTGCATCTCCGGTAGAATGTCTCAGATCCTTTGCCCATGTTTCTGTGGAATTGTTATTGAGCTTTTGGGGACTCTGCATACTCTTCGTGTGTGTCATTTATAAAATGTGTTTCCTATGGACTGTCCCCATCTGTGTGACTGGACATTTTATTCCTGAGCATGTGTTGAAGTGTGACTTGCAGGTATGTGGAGGGAGTTGGAGCTCTGTGGACCCAAGTGCCTGAGCCCTCCTCTGTGCGGCTCATGTGTGAGATGAGTGCTCCTACCTAGGAAGAAATCATGTGCTGTGCCGGCAGCTGTCCCAGCCCTGAGAATTCTGGAGCCAGACAGTATGACAGTTCACCCCGGAAGGTCACACTGTCTCTTTCTTCACTGTGGTTTTTCTATTGCAGTCTGGTCTGATTGTAATTTTAGTCCTGTCCTCTGGGAGCTACTACCAGTCATGTTATATTTAATGAAGACCTCGGAGCCGGAAGCTATCTTTAACTTCTGCTCTGAGGTGGGACACCCTGCGGTCTCTGGGCTCCAACACTGGCTCCTTTCTTCCCTTTTGGATCTATTTTGTTCTTTTTGTTATGAGATGGTCTTTTCATCCAGGGCAATCTCAACCTCACGGATTCGAGCTGTTTGTTGTTCAGCCTCAGCCTTCCAAGCTGGGTAGCTCAGAGGTGCCACATACCAGGTGACTGTTTCGCTGCTGAGGTGCGACAGACGTGGTTGACAGCTCGGTTTTCTTACTGTCCCCAGCCCCCACGAGCCTGTGAGGTGACTCCATTGCTGTGGAGGAATGTGCCTGTTGGATGTTCATGTCGGTTTTGATTCTGCCCCCAGGAATCTCCTGTTTGCTCTTTAAAAAGAAAATCATTTAATATTTATGTGTGAATGTGTGTTTGGGTGCCCGTAGAGGCCAGAAAATAGCTTTGGATCTCAAATTAGAAGTGAGGTGTACCTGACCTCAGTGTTGGGATCTGAATTCAGATCCTCTGGGGGAAAAGTACATGCTCGTAACCAGCAGGGGGTCTCTGCAGCCCCTCCTGTGCTCTGTGTAACAAGAACAGCTTTGTGTGTTTGGGAATGAGCAGGTGACCTGGCTCGCACATTTTCCTTCTGTCAGACACTGGGCTTTGTGTACAGTTGCTCATCAAAGATCGCAAAGGAGCTTTCTGATCCAGATGCATCCTGAGCGCCTGTACCCTTGTTCTTGATCCTGACTGTTCTCTGCTTTGCAGTGGAGGGATGTAAGTGGAGCTCTCTATAGCTTGGCCCTTTGTGATAGGTTTGTGGTGGTCACAGACAGGAAGCCTGCACTCCTCCATGCTATGGTCTCACTGGAGAAGGCAGTGGTTGAAGCTATAGCTCTGCTCTGAGACACTCATTTTTTTCTCATGATGAACCCCACTATAGACACTGGGGAGTCCTATAGCAGATGCAGGGAAAGATGACGGAAGCCCTAGGCCGTAGAATCTGTACTGTCCCAGCCAGTGCTGTATGGCTTTGAGACAAAGCCCTCCATGGGGGTGTCTGTGGGTAGACTTGTTGAACCAGAGGTCTGATGATGTCACCTCTCTCTCCCCTTACTTCCTCTAGACTAGACAGAAAATCGTTTGATTCCCATCTCTGTAGGAGAAAGCAGGCTGCCTAGGTTTATGACATTCACACACTGAAATATGTCTTCATCACTAAAGCATTAGCCTTGGCCATCTGTGCCCTTTGACCCCTTCCACTGTTCTGTTGTGTAACCTCACTGACTTGAAAGTTCTCTATTGACTTTTGGATTTAATCATGTGTTAAATCCTGCTCGTTTCCCACTGAGTAGCCTCAAAGGGTCCTTGATGGCTTTTCTGTCATATCCCTACATATGGACCTTTCTTCCAAGGATGACTTAGGATATGATTATTCTCTGTCTTAGAAATTGGAGTCCAGCAAGCACTTTGCTGGCATGAGCTGGTTTCTGTTATGGTGAGTGTGAATCCCACTGTCACTAAGTCCTGCTGCCTGAGTGGAAGCGTTACCCCGGGGGAGCCTGTGGAGAGTGTCTCTGGTCACCTCACTTTCAGCTTGCCTGGGAATGAGAGGCAATGAAGTTCATCTTCAGATTCCTGAGCAGCTGCTGGTGGAGCCAAACACTGTCACTTCTGTGGACTGTGGCTTGGCTGGACTAATCCAGCTCTCTGGCCCCAGGCTTCTGTATTGTGGAGGGGAAGAGCTGGGTCTTTCCCACCAAGACCTTGGATAGGTTCTCATCACTCAGTAAGTAGATGTAAGAGGTAGGAAAGGCGGTGCACACACATTCCCATGGGTATTGTCCCTAAGATCTCAAGGGGCCTTAATCTGGTTTACTTAAAATGAGTCAAAAGTGTTTGTGCTGTAAAGACACTGGGTGAAGGATGGGATGCACACAGCAGACGAAGGCCACAGGCAGGGTTACTCCCTGCAGGCTTTTCTTCCGGCTTGTGTCCTCAAGTGTTCTGTGCACACAGTCTATAAAAGGGTGCTATGTTTTATAGCACTGACACAAGGCCTCATTTAACCTTTGTAGGCATGAAATTTTTGCAACCTACTTTTAATAAGGGTTCAACCTCTTCTCTAGCCCACCACCAGAAGACGTAGTGGAAGAGAAAAGTTATTAGGATGGGGGGAAGTGGATCTGTTCAGGAATAGATCTTTGCGCCCAAGCTCAGTCTTCTTGGGCAGCAGTTCAGTCCCATAGCAAACACCAAATATGATTCAGTGGCTACAGACCAGTCCTCTAGGCAGGCAGACACCAGGCAGCTGTAGTTCAATCCTGAAGAAACCACCAGGCTCACCAACCGGCCTGAGGTAAGGCGGCAGAAACAGCAAAATACCACAGGAACCTCAGGAGCAGTTCTTTGGTGGATTTCTCTCAATAGTAGTGTTATCACAAGTTGAGTTCAACAATGCTGTGTAAGGCAAACCAGCACGTGCATGTCGTTAGTGAAGAATAGTGAGGCAGAGCTGTGTAAGGCGAACCAGCACGTGCATGTTGTTAGTGAAGAATAGTGAGGCAGAGCAAACCAAACCAGTGCTCAGTGCTCATCTACCAAGCTCTGTAGAGCCATAGTTATAGTCCTTCCTCAAGCATCCTTTCTCATGTCTGCTGTATCCAAACATCCTATCACCTGTGTCTGCTTCAGGAAAACATTCTTTCACGTGTTTGCTTTAGCGAGACATCCTTTCACCTGTGTGCCCCAGCAAAGCATCATTTAACATAACTATCTTTCCAAAGAAACTAGAAGTTTCCACTTCAAACCGTCCTTATTAGGACTCCTGTCTCCAAATACCATCACTCCTTGGGTCAGTATTGTGGAGCCAGGACAGGAACATTGAGCATGGAGGGTTATGTTTGCCCTCCAGTTCTTCATGGCTTCATATCTTAGCTGCAGTATGGCAGCTCTTCCTCAGACACTGCTACTTACCTTTACACCAGAGGAGAGGCAAGGGTTTCACCAGCTGATCTAAGAGGGTGGGCAGGAGTGGAAGTAGAAACCGGGACTGTTTTCTCCTCTTCACCAGAGAGGACTGGGGAGGTCCCCTTGTGAGTGAGCACATTTGTTTAGAGGAGGGGTTGGGGAATTCTTCTATAACTTATCACGTGCCCCTAGGTGTTCTGTCTCCGAAAGGATTCCATGTGACCTTCTGGGTTCATTTGTTCCTGGAAAGGGAGTCTGGATACCCATTGCAGTCTAAAAGGGTTTGTATGTTACCTAGAAGGTTGCCCCAAAGGACTGAAGGGTTGCACTAAGTGTGTAGTGAGTGAGGTGATGCTGAATGGGTCCTGATGCAGAACTGCATCCCGGGAGGCTGTGTTACAGTGGAGGAGACCCTTGGGAAAACCTCACACCTGGCTCTGGCATATGGCATCTTTAAGATGCCTTTGCTCCGGCCTTTGCCTGGAGCTGCTCTGGAGTGGAAGGATCAGGTCCCTCAGCTCTGAGTAGGCCCTTATGCATCCATCCTGACCAGTCTGAGTCTCATCCTGTGACACAGCATAACTCATGGACGAGGCCTTGAGGGTAGGAGAGGGCTACACATGGAGGAGTAGGAGCAAGTTCAGGAAAGCAGTTCACAGTCAGCTTCCCTCCATGGCATGGTGTAGTCAATGAGAACTGCCCTGTGCCAGAACCTGGAGTATTTTCACCTGCATGGACTCTGCACCACGGTGCTGTCCATGGGAGTCCAGGGTTTCCAGGTCATCTGGTTTTTGCAGGAGAAGCCAAAAGTTCTTTTTGTACAGAATGTTTCTGGATTCATATGCTGACAGTTCGTTCCTAGCCATCGCTGTCCAGGCCAAATGGCAGATGATGGCTTGAAAGGTAGGCTCTGATCTGTGAGTTCTACACAGGGAAGCTCAGCGTAGTGTCCAAAATGGTCAGGAGAGACCCCTAATGAGGACCCCCTTCCCTCTTCTTTTCTTCAGGACCCACTGCTTGTCTGCCAGGCTGCTGCTTCATTGGTACCAGCTCCCCTTGGTTCCTAGGGCTCCTGCATATTAACACACTGATCATTTGTGTCAACTGCTCTTCTTACCTTGGAGTTGCTCCCTCTGAGAGAGGCAGAACTCACTCTTTATGTCTGAATACTCATCCAAAAGTCCGCCCTAGGCAGGCTCGGTCCATTCACCTGTTCTTCAAGTAACTCATACCTCTACGTGGTTTTTGCCATCCTTTGTTGCCACGAGTATGTCACGTATGTCTGGTAATGCTTATGTGCCTGTGTGCACATGTGTTCGTACCTCCTCTTCCCTGCAGTGCAGGCTTCCTGAGTATAGCCATATCCTTCTGCGACCCCAGCATCTGGCTCCCCTGCTGGCTCATCACAGGTGTTCATGTGTACGAGTACCAGTTTGGAGAGGAGGAAATGCCTGGTGATCACTGCTGTGACTTTTCTACTTAACATGAATGCTTAAGACACACTTTTGTGTTGACAGCAAAGAGGAAGAAACCCTCCAAGTCAGAGGCCAAGGGGACGGTGTCCAAGGTCACTGGGAAGAAAATTACCAAGATCATTGGTCTGGGAAAGAAGAAGCCATCCACAGATGAGCAGACATCATCAGCAGAGGAGGATGTGCCCACCTGTGGTAAGGCCCTTCCTTGTGTTAGCAGACTATCTCTGGGTGTGTTCTGGGGCCTTCTGAATTATAGAAAGAAGTTTCAGCCTTTAGTAATAGAAGAATCTCTAGGGGCTTGTGATGCTCTCCACGGTTCTTTCAAGGTAAAAACCAATGTTCTTTGTCAAATGACCACACCTACCCTGAGTTTACTCCAGTGCTTCCAGACTTGGCCACAGACACCAGGCAGGGCAAAGCTCTAGAACTGAGTCTCCTTCTGGTCACACCTAGGACTTAAGAGCTGTCTGGCCACAGTGTTATCTTCTGTCTGTTGGTCTGTTTCTCTCTCTCTCTCTCTCTCTCTCTCTCTCTCTCTCTCTTTCTCTCTCTCTCTCTCTCTGTACGTGTGTGTGTGTGTGTGTGTGTGTGTGTGTGTAATGCTATTTTGTCAGAGATTGGGTAAAACATATGGTCTATAGCAGTCACCAAGCCAGTCTTGCCCACCATGGTGTCTAGGCTAGAGACTAAAGAGAGGAACCAAACAGGGAAGCTCACCGGAGGAATGCGTGTGTAACGGCCAGCTATGCCCACCGTGGGGAAAGCAAAGAGGTGGAAGGCGCTATCATGGCACCAAGCTAGGCTTTGGTCAGGCTGTTGGTACAGCCTCCACGAGAGTGGTAGCAACACCACACTGTAACAGTCCCAGTAACCACACTTAGGAGAATTGCGTAGCCGCTCTTTCAAGGAGGAAAACTTCGTAAGTGCAAAGAAGTGTTTGCCTTTTGATTTGTTTCATTTTATAGGACTAGAGATGTTCTAGACTAGTGTCCTACCTCCAGGCCCTTTCCTTCCTTAAAAAAAATATCAAGAATGGAGCCTGGTATGGGGTACATGCCTGTAATGGTAGTACCAAGGAGGCAGAAGCATAGAGGGTTGCTGCCAATGAGGCCAGCCTGGGCTATGTACTGAGTACTAATCAGACAGAGCTACATAGCAAGACCCTATACCAGAATAAAACAAGAGCAGGAATAAGCTGTAATTGCCCTTGTATATTACTGTTCAGACACTGCTTCCCATCGGTGTGAGTACACAATTCCTTCAGAGCCATTCTGTTTACAGTCCCCTCTTTCCGACTGATCACCCTCCTTGGGTGCCGAGTCAGGGAAGAATCATAGCATCTGTAGGTACCTGGAGCTAGGTACACTCCAGATCCCTGGACTGTTTCTCATTAAGTGGTTGTTGGGGATGGGACAGAATTAGGTCAGCTGGTAATAAAGGTTTCCACATCATACTCCCTTTCATGAGGAGAGAACTTGGCTGCAGTACAGCCAGCTGGACAAAGCTGTGACTGAGTGGGGAGAGTCTAGTGACACTGCCACACTACTCCTGGCCAACCTCCATCTTCCTGGAGATCTTGGGGACATAGTCTTTCTCCCTGCCTTTGTCATCAGCCCTTGTGATGACAGCACTTGGGAGTTAAGGCTTCTGTTTTTTTCAACTGCTCTAGGTTAGTGGAGAAAATAGAAATTATTTTTTGAGACAAGATCTCACCATATACACCAGGCAGCCCTTGAATTCACTGAGATCTGCCTGCCTCTGTCTCCTGAGCACTAGGATTAAAGGCTGGAGGTAGAAATGCTTTTAGGAGGACTGGTTACGTGTTAACATGGCAGGCAGGTCAGAGGCCACAGTCTGGGTCCTCCTCTTGCAGAGGAAGACGCCAATGCTCAGAGAAGTCACAAGTCTCTGCCTCTTTGAAGGCAGAATTGGTGACCCTGCCCTCATAAGCTGGCAATTCCACTCCCACAATGCTCTCTGACTCCCTGTAAGTCATGTCACTTATTAGAAGAGCACGGCCTTGTAGGCCTCCCCACAAACTGTCGATACCCTGTTACTGTCACACAGTGGCTGTCTCTACGCTAGTCACTTTCTTGAAAGCTTGGGTGATCCTGAGAGCAGGGGCCTGAGGCTTTGCTGGGCACAGCTCTGGCTTCTGCTAAGACAATGCCCTCTCTCCACACACTCTAAAAATGTCATGCGGCTCTTTGCCAGACCAGAGGTAAGGGTAAGTGTCTCTAGGGGAACAGGGAACAATGGCCATTTTCAGCCCCTCAGAGCAGCTGCAGGGCTTCTCAGCAGCAGAATAGATTTGGACTTGGGCCCGTCGGAATGACCCTGCCACACTGAGCCCCGGCAGCTGCTGGGAGACAGCGCTAAGCCGATGGGCCAGAAGGGCAGAGCAGCTGAGCAGGCAGACAAGATTCCCTGGAATTACTGAGCCGAGCCTAGTGCATGTCTGTGCACTGTAGTCTGGCTATGCTAGATGGGGTGCTGTGGTTTCCTGGGGTGCTCTTGCCAGGCTTTTGTGGGCTGGGCTCAGACCTGCAGAGGCAACTGGGCAGCCCTAGGTGCTATCTTTGTCCTCCTGAGAGGCCTTTGAGGGATGCATTAGTATTGGTCTGGGTAGCTTGTTTGCAGCCCTCCGGGTAATTTACCCAAGAGACACACCAAGACTCCAAACCCAAGGCGGCTTTTATCTGGCCTTCCATGGGCTGACAAAGTCCCAGAGTTCTTGTCACCCTATAGTGAAGTTGTGAGACCTGGAAATGCACCCTCCCTCCACCTCTCCTCCTGTCTACTCCCCGCTCCACCCCACACAGGCACCTTACCCTAGTCACACCATCCTGGGTGCAAGCATAATGACCCTTTCTTGCTACCCACCTGGAATCTCAGCCTTGGCCAAGCCTCATTGCGTTGCTAGACTGTGACATTGCTCTGCAATGTCTCTGTCACCCAGTGCAGGGCTCAGAACATGCTGACAAAGCCACTCACTGCTTTGGAGATTTGGGCTGCTTGTCTGGGACGTGGGCTCCAACAGTTCCTTGGTGCAGTTTGGGTGCAACTGGGCAGGGCCTGAGCGCCCGTGTTACTGCCACTGTCTGTTCTTCACCCTCCAGGTTTTAATGTCAATGAAACACATCTGCACAGCAGCCCTGCCCAGTTTCAGGAGAAAAAGTAGACTCTGAGGCCTGCTGGATGAACTTTAGAATTCAAAGGGGGGACCTTGTTTATTCTTGCCTTTCGTTCCGTAGAACTTGGAGTGGAAAGAATCTCAAAATATTAAACAGAAATTACCCAGTTTCTAAGATATATTAGCACATTTCTATAATATAAGTGAGATTATAAAAAATAGAAAAAGAATAAAAGCCAAGGGGAAAAAAAACCAAACAACAAATCCTCATATAATTGTTCCCCGAAGCCTCCAAGCCAGTCCAGGGCCAGGCCTTAAGGTCCTGGCTGCACTCTGGCGCCCTCTGGTGGCAGATGTCTATTTCAGCTGGAAGATCTGGCACATATCCTTAGCAAGGCAGTGGGTGTGGGCACACGACTGGGACCCACCCCTGGACTTGATCCCAGCCTGGGGAGGTCTGCCTTCTCTGCCTGGCCTTGCTCACCTCTGTGTCTCCTCGCCAAGAAAATGAAAACTTGGAAACCACTTCTTGAGAAAGTGAGGTACCATGGAGGCTTGTTGATAAACACAGCCATGAACATGTCTGAGACTTTCCTCTCTCTCTCTCTCTCTCTCTCCCTCTCCCTCCCTCCCCCCCTCTCGCGCGCTCTCTCTCTCTCTCTCTCTCTCTCCCTCCCTCCCTCCCTCCCTCCCTCCCTCCCTCCCTCCTTCTCTCTCTCTCTTTCTCTGAAACTTAAATCCCGAGAATGTATTAAAATATGGTAATGTCCCATGAAGTCATGCTCTAAATGAAGGGAGGACCTGCCTCATGCAATCATTCTGCTATGGCAGAAACATTGGGAAAGCATCTGGTGACTGTGGGCAGACACTCCATCTGAAACGAGGAGGGGCAAGAGCCGGTGCTGCTGTCTGTTCTGCCCAGGCCCAGCCACGGGTAGCTCAGCAGACCTGCACAGGACACGTCCTGTCCCCATCTGGCAGCTCCATGAAGCCCATATGCCCTAGAGCTCAGAGCCTTTTTGTTTTTAAGGGCAGGGTCTTCATGTGCCATGTAGATTCATCCTGAACTGAAGCCCTATATCTAACTTCCTGAGTACTGAAGCTCTAAGTGTACCACACTGGTTAGTTTTGTTTGTTTCTGTTTTTTGTTGTTGTTGAGATCGAGTCTTATTGTAAAGCCCGGGCTGGCCTTGAACTCACTGACCCTCTGAGCCTCCCTGCTGCATGCTGGGATCACAGGCGTGTGCCTCCACTCCCCATCGAGAGTGGCTCTTTAACAGTGGTTAAACAATCCATGCATGTGTGATCCTTTTCTACAGAGTATATCAAGTTACTTGAGGGCTTCCTGCCATCCTGTTTGTGGGCTTGTGCTCAGAAAACACTTAGGGTCTGTTGACACAGGTGACGTCTACTCAGAAGTCCAGCGTCTGGCTTTCGGCATGATTGATTGCTGTCAGAGCGAATAGTTCTAGTAAGATGTTCATCTGACTACATTTTAAAGCAGGCTTTCCTTCTTTCTTTAAAACAGTAATAAATCAGAACGGCTCCATCTATACGTTAAAAGCCTTTAAATAAAACCAATCTCATTAAACTGCCGTTTCTCGGGTGAGGCCTGCAGCTGTACTGAGAATAATGCCCCTTATCTGTCTCTGATTTCATGTAGGGATCAGGTCTGACTGTGGCCTCTGGTAGGGCACCCCACATCTGAGGGTGCACTCTCCTTCCTGGATGGCCCTTGGAGAAAAATGTTTAAAAGCTGCCTAAACACAAGAGAGCAGCGAGTCCCCTGCTCTGGAGCTCACAGGCTTTGTGTGTGACTTTATGACAAATGCTTTGCTCAGCCAGAGATGTACTTTAGAGTGTGTGGGTACAGGAGACCCCCAGCCAGATGATGACTCACATTTTGCACACGTTGGTAGCCATAGTGCAATATCTTGAAAAAAATATTCACCAGAGACGTACAAACCTTTGGCTGGTCACTGAGCGTGAGTACGTACATGTGCAAGAACTGGAAGAGACTGAGCAACACCCAGCATTCTCCACTATCCTTCTCACCCGCTGGTCACCCTTTCCCTGTCTAATCCTTTCTTAATCTCTGAGAGGTGGCGAGTGCACAGTGGGACAGCTGGAGGCCATAGTAGGACAACCGCCACAGTCACCAGAGTCACCACAGCACCTCCAACTTATGCCTTGAAGAATTTCTAGAAATTTGTGCTTTGTGTGTATGATAGTCTCAAATTGTCATTTTCCTGTGTTTGAAGATTTTTCTCTCATAGGGAATAATTCTCCCTGTAATTCTGTCACATGTGACATCACACTGAATACAGTATCATTCCAGACACACCAGAAAAATCACCAGAAACCTCGACGTACAGACCCAGAACTCAGGCAGTCAGGTTTCATCCGGATTAGCCTCTCTATGAGATGAAGCCCTTGCTTCCACAAGCAGGGATGGAACATAGAGACTAGGAGGAGGCCTCGGGGCTGAGGGTGGGGAGCTCATACCAGCCATGTTCCATCACTTGCTGGAACATATCCAGCGCTGGGGAGTTTACCACTCCCCGGGCCTCCCACTTCCTGGAGAGTTTTCATCTTCAGATATTTTTATTTCTGTCTCCTATGCTCTGCTTACAGCATTTGCAGCTGGGTCGTTTTGCATGCGATTTCTCTTCCCTTGCATGCAGGCAGCTGTCAGCCCCTCCTATCTACCCCACGTCCACTGTCACTGTCTCAAGGTGGTTTCCAGGTTCCCATGGAGACACCAAGGAGCTGAAGCTGATCCTTACTCTGTGAAATGGGCTCTGTCTGGTGAAGAGCCACCAGGTCCCATTGAAAGCTAGCTGTGTAATAATGACTCTTCCCCCTGTATGAGCATTTAAAGCCTGGGTGTGAGTCTATGTTTCATGCATGACACTTCCCTGGTCTGTAAAAGAGCACAGATAAGGGACATGGCTTCCTCAGGAGTCTGAGCTGTGGCATCCTCTCCTTGCAGGCTACCTAAATGTGCTGTCTAACAGCCGCTGGCGGGAGCGCTGGTGCAGAGTGAAGGACAGCAAGCTCATTCTCCATAAAGATAGGGCTGACCTGAAGACCCACATCGCCTCCATCCCTCTCCGTGGCTGCGAGGTGATTCCAGGCTTGGATTCTAAGCACCCATTGACCTTCCGGCTGCTTCGAAATGGACAGGAGGTGGCTGTCCTAGAGGTATGGGATTCCCTGGGGCTGCTATCCAGAGAAGTGTACACAGGTTCTGTCAACACTATGATTAATTAACTCCTCTGCAGAAGACCTTAACTCCCTGTAGGGACTGATTTTGATCCAGCCCCTTCCCTCCCTTTGCTAATTCGGTTTTGCGTTGTCTTCTGGGTTTCTCTTTTGGAGAGTCAGGGACAATACAGGCTTCCAAGAGCATCATGCATGACAGCTTTGCTTGCCACAGTTCAATGCCTAGCTCCAAATAATGGGTCACTTTTCAGAGGGCTCAGGCAGGCGATAACTGTGGGGGAAAAAACAACCCCCATTAAAATACGTCTAAGCATAGGCTACTGAGGCACATGGGGACTGTCTCCTTCATTTGTCCTTTGGAAAGCTCTCTACATTTTAGGGCCCCTGACACCCTGTGGTGGGGTCAGTGAGCTGCAAGCCCGTGATTACCTGTGTCCCTTATCGTCTGCTTGGCTACTTTATAGGATAATTCACCAATCTTCCATCTTGTTCTACTTGCCATTAATCGAGACTTATTGTTTTTTCTTTTCCCCCTTCATCCTTAGTATGATTAAGATACACATGACGTCATCCATTCACAGACTTGAAGAACTGTGTTTTCCAGGGTACATGTCAGTGTGTTCATGCCATGAGGTCAGCAGAAGTGAGGCTATGTTAGGCTTGGATCAGTGGCTGACATGCGTGCTGTCCATCAGATGCAGAGCCCAATCTTAAATGGCTGTGGTGTGGGTAATGGGGCTCTGACCAGGGTCAAGGTGTCCAGGCAAGCAGCCAACAAGATCTTGAATTTCAGTATGTGGGTGCTTACTTTCAAAATTGTTGTCGCAGTAGGTTTTTGTTTGGTTTATTTTTGGTTTGGCGGGGACCGTACATTGTCCCTGTAAGACTCACTGGCCCAGATAGTCTCAGGGACCAGGAGGATGACTGTGCCCCCTGGTGGTTGCATGCAATAACACATGGCTCATCCAGTTCCGGGATGCTATCTCTACCTCTAGCTCTCAACTGATCTGACAGCAAGTAGCCAAGTCTATTTTTTCTCTTGGCCTCTTACCTGCCTATAAAAACACTTAACAAGGATGGCTTAAAATTTGAATAAGCATAATTTTAAAGGTGGTCTGAGAAAAACATTAAAGAGGCTTCAAGGTCTGGCACCTACAGATGTCTTAAAAACAGTATGCACAGAGCTAGTCAGAACCACAGAAAAGTATTGCACCTGCAGGGATATGGTGGATAAGTTGCCTTCAATAGTATCCAGATAAGAGGAACAAGCTTGCGGTCACATACCACACCGGCTGCAGCACAGGCTGGAGTAGGACCTCTGGGAGTCTTGGGGTAGAGCACCCACATGTTCTCTAGGCCAGGACCTCAGCATAGTTACAACTCGCTGTGACTCAGATGTATTTACTCTTGTGAATCTCTATGTCTTCCTTTCTGGTGCCCCCTCCCAGGTAATGGGGAAGCATCTTGGTGGCTCAGATTTTAAGTCCCTTTCTATAATTTTTCTGTATCCTCTGGCTCTCCAGCCTAGTGTGAATACAAAGCTAATCCTCTCACTCAGACAATGAGTATGGCGTCTTTCTCATCCACACTCAGGCCTCCGTATTCTCTTTCCCTTCCTGACACGCATGTTTGTCTCTCTTCCCCGTGGCAGGCGTCATCTTCTGAAGACATGGGCAGATGGATTGGCATCTTGCTGGCTGAGACGGGGTCCTCCACGGACCCGGGAGCCCTGCACTATGACTACATAGATGTAGAGATGTCAGCAAATGTCATTCAGACAGCTAAACAGACCTTCTGGTAAGACTCACGCATGACCTGTGGAAGGCCTGAACTCAGCCTCATTCCTCTTCTGTTTGACAGCAGGTGCTCATCGACCATGCAGACCAGAAGCATGCCTGAGGGCTGTCCTTGGTGAGGTGCTGGCCCTGATGACCCTGATGTTGGTCATTTCGGCCTTCTGGGATTTCTGCTAGAGTGGCCTTGGCAGACTTGTCAGAGATGTTGTACTGGCTTCATGGGCCCGATGATCCCTGCTACATCTGCTTAGCTCTGCCCTTGCAGCCAGAGACTATAAGGGCTCATGACTGTTTTTACTTACACTGATGAGTAGTAGTCCTGGTCTTGTCCTGTGAGCAGCTGCTGTGCCCCACCTACTTGTGACAGAGGTCTTCTAGAAAGCAGAGAAGATGCTTCTGTAGGTTGCTGAAACAAGGCCCAAGATCTCAAAAGCTGTCAGTGCAGCACTTTCTAACTTTGAGTTGTAACAAATAATTCTACTTTGGGCAAAAGCATCTTTTTGAGCCAGTAATCATGAGGGGTTTGTAGCAGCAGATCCTGCAGGGTCCTCCGCCCATGTGGGGATTTGGCATCGTCAGCTGTTCTACAAGGTAAGAGTTTTCTCCATGATCACCTGAGATGTGTTCTCCTTTCTTACCGCTCTGACACAGGCTGCTGTCCGGGCTGTGGCGGTGAACAGGGCTCTCCATGGCACGGTGCCCCTGGCACGAGTTCCCTTTACACACAATGGAAGTAGGGAATGCTGAATATATTTGGGGTAGCCTTGGGCTAGAGAACTCCAGTGGCCACGGTGTGCCTTAGTGAACCCCACATGACCCAGGGGTGCATCAGTTACAAGGAGGAGTTCCAGCAGTGAGTTGCCAGTGCACCTGGTGGCCATTCCCAACTTCCTAGTTTTTACCTTGAATGATAATCAGTGGGCTAGGGATGTAGCTTAGTTGTTACAGTGCTTTCCTAAGCATACCCCAGGCCCTGAGTTCACTCCCCAGCACCACATAAACTGGTGCACATCTCTAATTTAAGCATATGGGTGGTAGAGGAAGGAAGATCTGAAGTTCAAGGTCATCTTTTGCTACATAGTGAGTTCAAGGCTATCCTGGAATACATGAGACCATGTCTCAGGAAAATAGGATAACTGATAGACTTTGGGCTTTCAGACAAACATTACCTTAGAATGGATCCATTGCCCTTAGCAATTAGCAAATTCTGAGCCAGTGAAGGGAAGCTTACCTAGAAGGTGGTTTCCACATTCCTACAAGCACTGTGCATGCAATGGCTCCCCAGCTCATTGACTCCCTTCTGATGATAAAGTGGCAGATTCACACAGTGGGGCCACTGGTGCATAAAATGGAGATTCACACAGTGGGGCCACTGGTATGTACAGTGGAGATGCACACAGTGGGGCCACTGGTATGTACAGTGGAGAGTCACACAGTGGGGCCACAGTGGTGATGGTGACAGGAGCAGGCCTGTCCCTAGGGCAGTGTCAGTTTGTGGTCTTCATGTCAGGGCATAGAGTCTAATTAAGAGACTGCCACTCATTAAGACTGTCCACAGCCACCTGAGAGGCTATGGGTATGTGCTTCTCTCTCCCAGATTCACATCCTGTGAGGCTGCTTTTCCCCACATATGTCACCCAAGTAGCACAGTGTGGCCATCAGGTACAGAAGCAGGAGTAGGAACCCAGTTACCAATCTCAGAGAGACATTTATGACCTGAAAATCAGCAACACCTTTTTTATTTATGTTGGAAAAGCTTCACAAGCACATACACACATCTGCACCCACACATGTGAATGTATATATACACTCACACATAAATACATATATACACAAATATGTATTAACTATGATGAGATATGATAGACTTATGATTATTGTTTTTAAATGAGTATATTTCTCACATTTTCTTTAAATTTAGTAGGTAGCTGACAGGAACTCTTCACGGAAGAGCTGGGACCAGCCATGAGTCCCTAATACTAGGAAGTGTGAACAGTGCATCCTGGGTCAGCTGTGACATGCCAGCATGTCACCTAGACACTTAAGTCACTCCCTGTATCTGACCCCCTTTTTAAAAAAAACATTTAAAAAAACATTAAAAGATATTTTTATGTAACATATTTTTATTGTATTCTTTCCTCTCCCCCAACTCCTCCCAGACCCTCCAACCACTCAACTTAATGGTTTTCTTTTCATCTCTCCCTCAAACAAAACAAAACAAAACAAAAACTAAGAAAACAAACCCCAAAAGACAAACACTAGGCCATAACAACAACAACAAAAGCCCATATGAAAAGCCCGGGGTCCTTTTGTGTTGACAGCTGCTCCTGGGCATGGGGCCAGGCCTGTGTGGGTGATAGGCCTGGTGACCGTCATTTGCAGAAAAATAGATCTTTCCTTTCTAGCAGGTATTAGTTGCAAATAGCTTATTTTGGGAAGACGGGGATTGAAACAGAGTCTTTCTATATTTTTGGCTGTCCTAGAATTCACCATGTAGACCAGGCTGGTCTCAAACTCACAGAGATCCAACTGCCTCTGTTTCATGAGTGTTGAAATTAAAGGCATGCACCACCATACCTGGCACAATTAGTGTCTTGGTTTGTGGTGGGACTTGGTGTCTACTTCTCCTTCTCAATGCTGGGATTTTGTCATGGTGCAGATCTCGTGGGTGCTGCCACAGTCTCTGTGAGTTCATATGTATCTGTCCTATTGTGTCTGGGAGGCATTCATTCCTTGGAATCACCCACCACCTCTGGCTCCTATAATCTTTTTGCCTCCTCTTCCTCATAGATCCCTGAACCTTGAGGGGTTAGGACTGAGTCTCCAAAGTCTCTTGTTCCTTACATATTGTCCAGTTGTAGATCTGTGCTCCTTACCATCTACCTCTCTAAGGAGGGTTGAGTAACACTCTGATCTTTGAGCAGAGCAGTATGTCATTAGGAATCATTTTATTGCTGTTTCTTTATTAGGGTAATAGTAGTCGGTCTCCCCCTAGGACCTGGTTAGTCTCGGGTTCTCAGCCACGGTAGTGGTGTTAGGTGTGGGTCCCTTCTTATCGAGTGTGCCCTAATGTCAGGCAATGAATGGCTGGCCACGATGATAACTACTGCCCTGGCATATCTTGCATAATATATAATTATGTATTATAATATATATCATAATTGCTGTTGTGGGTCAATAGGGTTTGTAGCTGGGTTATGTTAATGGTTGTTTGTCTCTCCTCCTGTAGTGTGTATAGTACTTCCCAGCACTAGGAGACCAGTCAGTAGCAGTAAGACTTCTTGTTGGGCACCAGCTCTGTTTCTCTAGGTTTGATGGGCTAAATAAGTGGTATCTTCAGCAATAGCATCTTTCCGTCAGCTTGTGGAGGAAACCAATAACATTGACAATAGCCTGTAATGTCAGAATGGCTATGGGACCCCATCAGCCAAAGACTCAATAAGATGTAACCCATTCCTGCAAATGGGGGTTTTACTTGGTAGCATAAAGTGTCTGGTTGGCACGTTGTCTCTCTATGGTGTCTTCATTTAAATTCCTTTTGTATATTTCAGAAGCTTCTGCAGTCGTAGGTTTCCAAGTGGCTTTTCAAAAGGCCTCTAGTATTAAGTGTCCCTCCCATATCCCGTCCTCTTACCCCCCCCCCCGTTTAATTCTCCTATTCTAGTTTCACTTTATAACTCTATATCCTATTTCCCATGGTTGGGATAGCTGCCCCCACCCCGGCACCCCTAGTCCCTCGCAAGCTATTTAACTCCTGTAGATATTTTAAATGAGAAAGATTCTGTATGGCAAAGGACACCATCACTCCAGCAAAGTGGCCGCCTACAGAACAGGGGGAAAGAACTTTACCACTTAAACATTTGGCAAAGGCATATTAGAGTATGCATAGATCTAAAAAAAAAGAAAAGAAAAATCTGAACAACCAAGAAAACAAACTGCTTGTTAAAACGGGGTGTAGAAACATCTTAGGGGTTCTATGATAAAACAATGACCAAATGCATCTTGAGGAGGATGGGGTTTGTTTCAGCCTAGAGTCTTACCACACAGTCCGCCATGGAAGTCAAAGCAGGCACTCAAGTGGGGAACCTCATCCTGTGGAGTCTCCACAGCCTGATCTATTAACAGTTGTTAGCTGTGCTTATGTGGAAATTACTAAAATCCCCAAAACAAAACTCACAGAATGTTAACTCTAACCAGCAAACAGATCACCACATTCAGGAGAAACCCTGAATGAAAAAGTATTTCCCTCCACACAAAGCTCATTTTTTCCTTTATAACTGACCAGAATTTTAATTTAAACCAAATGCAGGGTGGTCACATCTTGGAGAAAGGAATGCAAGTCGCTGTACTGAACACTCGTCATTAAAAAAGCACATGGCATAAACTTAGCCTAGGAACCTTTTTTTTTTAACCTCATTAAAATCTTTTTAGGGATGTCAGCTAGCAGTAAAGCTAATTTTCATGTTTCAGTTTTCTAGCCAAACATTCCCATAAAACTTAACAGAGAGGAGACTGAACAGGGAGACAGCCTCAAAACATGGTGGCTTGCCAAGCAATAGATAGCCTGGGATTAAGTTAATTTTTCACTTTTTGTAACTTGGCGGCCGTGTGGTGAATCTTTGCCAAATGATTATGAGAATTATCAGCAATTGTGTCTGACTGGAGGAAAAAAAGACAATAAGGTTTTGAAAAAGAACAGGAAACAGAGAAAAAAACAACTTGTGGGATTGTCCTGGGGCATGGGCATGCGGGGGTATAGATGTGCTGGACACCAGGACGTGTCCTGGGGCTGACCAACGGCCACAGGTCACGTGACAGAAGGACAATGTCCTGGCACTTCCCCTGATGCTCTCACAAGTGCTGCCCGTTGTAGGCCCAGCAGAGTGTGGTGGTGATATGCATCTGCCTGACTAGAGAGAGACAGGGTGGGAGGAGGGACAGGCTACCATCTTCAGGTCCCTGAATTTGCATATAGCATTCCCTGAGATATCCTTCTGTTTTAGAGTCAGACTCATTTCTACTTACACACTTGGCTGAAAGTCACTTTGGAAACAGGCACCAGAGGGGAGCAGGAAGCCCCTGCTTACTCTTGGCTCCATGAGAGTTCTCTTGACTGGCCTGTGCCCCTCTCTGAAAATGTTAGGATATTCTGGCCAGGGGAGAAGGCCTTCTGCCAACAAGGACACATGTGTGTCGTGTTTCTTGAATCCTTCAAACATCTCCATTGAAGGAATCGGAAATGTGCCCAGCTAGAAACCTGGGCTCTGGTGGCTGTCTTTGATCTTCCTGATGTCTGTGCATAAGTGTGAGGACTGGGCAGGTTGCCAGTGCCTGACGCTGTAAAGCAAGAATGTGGGTCCTGCTCTAAGGAGGAGAAAGAGTTCTGTGCACACACATGCAGCACTGAGTGTTTCGCAGTGGCTGTGCTCAGTGCCAGCAGGTGAAGGCACACTTGATGTCCTGCCGTTCTTCCATTTATCACGTCTCGTTCACAACGGTCCCGGATAGTCCCTCAACTGAGACATTAAACGCCTTAAATGCACATGTGAAACGTGCAGGAACTCCAAGTGTCGAGTGAATATTTTCTTCTTGAATTTCCTCCTTCCTGTGCATTTAACTTTCCTATACTTGATTCGGTGCAGACTAAGCATAGAGTAATTATAGCAATGTTCATTCTACACTAAGAAGTGTAGAATGCTGCATCTGCCAGAGGAACCATGCTTTTCCAGCTTCTTCCAGCAGGGGGCAGCAATGCACTGTGAGAGTGCAGCCATTGGTGTGTGCAGCGCCACACAGTTGGCTGTGTTACCCCAAGCTACTTTTCTCAGAGAAACAGTTTTGGGGGAAATACATTTGTGTTTAACTTTCTGTGATTTTAGTTTCCCCAGTTAGGAGCAAATTCTACCTTGGTTATTTCTTCCTAGGTTTTCACAGTTGTCCTGAAACAAGCCCATCTCTTCTCATTATGCTCTAGAAACTGGGGTGACAGAATACTCCAGAAGCTTGTATTCTGGGGGGTCGGGGGGGAGCAGACAAGGAACAGGTACAGGATAGGCTAAGTTGGTGCACAAAGGAAAGTCAGCATTGAAGAGGGAAGGGGCTTCTTAATGTCAAGGAAAGACACCTTCACCCCACCTCCCCGGGGCACACGGGTTAGGAAGAGCAGTGCTCTGGGTGGGCAGAGTGAAGAGGTGGAAGGGACTGAGGTGCTCCAGAGCATTCCTGACACCATGCAGGCCGGGAAGGAGAAGCCAGAGGAGCCAGGGGCAGAGCTGGAGTCTGGTGCATGCAGCCTGTCCTGGACAGTGTTTTGCTTGACTGTTTTGGAGACTTTGGAAGCCTCCAGGTAGTGATACACGTGAGGCTGATGTGTGCTTGCTCTCTGAGAAGCAAGGGCTGGAGGAGAAGCAGACTGCCCTTTTCCAAGGTGCAGACTCTCGTTCACCTTTGGCCACCAAGTATGGGTCTTCTCACACCAGGTGACACTGTAGTTCTCTGTGGACTCTGACAGGGAGCCACTGTTCTGACACAGTCCTGAAGATCAACAGCTCTGTCCCCTTCCGATGTCATTCACAAACCCAGTTTGCCACCGATGCTCATTACAGAGCAGATATTAACCTGAAGTCCTTACCACCCCATAAACTTCCCTAGACCTCAGGAAGTGGTTCATTTGCTAGGCCACTGGTGTGTTAGGAATCCACCAGTGTAACACTCTTGGGTAGAGCGTGAGCTATGGGAGACCAGGGCTTCCTCTTCTTCCCTGGTTACAGTGCCCTCTCCCTGAATCTAGCACTGTCCTTGGGTACATGCCTTTTCTAGGTACAGTGACTTCTCTGGGTGCAACGCTTTCCCTAAATACAGTATGCTCCCAGAGTGAGCACTTTTCCTGGGTACATCTTTCTGGGTTCACTCCTCTGTGTATAGATCCTTCCCTGGGTGGATACTTCCTGGTGCCTTCGTTCCAGAAGCTCTTCCGCCCTGTCATCTCAGAGTGGAAAGTCCAAGACTGTGATCATATGGCTGTTTCCTTAGCCACCAGCACGTCTATCCCCCAATCCTTCAGGCTTGCCAAGGACGGCAAGCAGCTCATTATGCTGGGCAAAGGCAGCCTGTCTCCTGTTACCATTAGGGAATTCTAAGGATTTAGAGGCTCTGGCCAAGAGCAAGAACCAAGACCCAATCATCCATCTCACGTATCCCAGCAGCACAGGCTTCTGAAGCCTTAGCATGGTTACCCACAGTGTCCTCAGAAGAGCCGGGACCAGCTGAAGGTATGCTCTGTGGCTGCCAGAGATCTTGAGTGCTTACTGAACAGCCGCAAACATCCCAGAGATGGCCAGGGAGTGGTGTAGACCATGCTGTTCCCTGCCTTTGGGAATGGCCAGATTCTGCAGACAGAACAAAACTGGCTCACAGTTGTGAGATGCCCAGCCTGTCAAAAAGAGCTGCTGTGCTCTCCCTATGTGTGTATGTTCGCTACCATAATGAAAATAGTGGTGGCTGTCCCATTCCCTCCACTTGTAGGTGCTGCTATATATCCCCATATATGGTATCCATAGTCTGTGCTGGGGCCTGTCTTTCCTCTGGGTCAGGATTGGCCCCAGTCCCTTTAAGATGGCATACGATGCTGCCTAAGGGCCTGATGTAGCCTTTGGTTGCATCAGTGTTCAGAAAGGCCCTGCTGGGTAACTGACATGTCCGTGTTTCTCTCTCAGCTTTATGAACAGGCGGGCAGTGTCCACTAGCCCATACCTGGGGAGCCTCTCCAATGGCTACGCTCATCCCAGTGGGACAGCACTACACTATGATGACGTCCCCTGTGTCAACGGATCGGTGAGTGTCCTTCAAGAGCCAATGGTCAGTTTTGGTTGTTGACAAATTGCTGGTCAAGTCTGTCCTGGAGTATCTATTTTCCATCTAGTGTGATGGAGAATTAAACCACATCCCGCAAACCCTGGCCTCTGACATGAGCACCAGGTCGTGTGACCCCTAGTAGACAGCTCATCTATCATCAACACATACATCTCAGTATCCAAGAGGCTGGCTAGAAGACCGTGGACTAAATTCAAATAAGTAGATGGAGCTGGAAGAGCATTCCGTTTTATAGTGCAGGGTGAGTTACCCTGATTAGCCTCGCCCGACACAGCCACAGCCACCATCACCCAGAAGCAGTGCCACACAGTGCTGCCTTGCTGCACGCTCGCTTGGCTCCTGGCTCTGCCTGCCCAGTGAGAAGGTGTGGGACAGCGAGCATGGGAAGCCTGTGCTGAGAGGAGCCCAAATGTTTGTTTCTTAGGAGTCCCTCTACCTTAGGGGATGTTTTAGACTTGGTCCTTACCGCTCTGTCTTTGTCCTTTCCCCATTATTCTGATGGCAGGAGCCGTGGTGCTCTGACCTTTGTCCTATAGCCCTGTGTACAGATCTGAGGGAGGGGCTTTGCCTGGTAAGAGCTGTGAGCAGGACTCTCAGCCCAGCCTTTGTGTCAGCATGGTCCCCAGCTCCCACCCCCACCCCATTCTGGCTATTGCACCATTTTCAAGGTGGGGTGTGGCCTCTGCTTACTGTGTAGACACCAGCAGCATTGTGTCAGCCCTGTTTCTGTACACCAACATGTAGGCTCCCCTCGAGGGTGAGCTGCCCCTCCCAGCCTGTGGCCTCAGACAACATCTCCACATATCCATGCACCATGCACATGCGTGCACACATGCACATGTGCGCGCGCGCGCACACACACATACACACACACACACACACACACACACACGCTGCAGGGACCTGATGTGTCACATCATGCTCACTTGTCCCTGTCACCCAGACAGTCCAGACACCATGCTAACTCAAGTTTCCCCAGTGCTTCTCCCCAGATTCACCCATGGTTTGATGTACATTTGGAAATAAACAGCTCTACACTGAAGAATCCTCCTCACCTGTATGCTCTGGGCCTTAGGGGCTGAGACATAATGCCTGTGTCCTGCCCTTTGGTGTCCTCAGGGCTTCCCTGCTTCGGCTTCCTCAGCCTGCTTCCTGTGTGCAGGCCTCTGCTACCAAGTGACTACATTCTGGACGCTTCATTTCTGGGTTCCATTAAAGTCTAAGCTTTATGACTTAATGCTCAGTGTGTCAGAAATTCAATTCCTTCTGCATCCCCTTTCTTTTTTCTTCTTTTTTCTTTCTTTTTTTTTTTTTTTTAAGAAAGGACTCTGCACACATGCTCTAGAAAGTTCTGTGGGGTTTCTGTCACTGTTTACTAAGTGTTCCACGTGACTCGATCCTTGCTATTTTAGGAAAATGAGAGTCAAGTACAGCTCATTGTGGACCTGCGTGGCTGTCACTGTGAAACGCTCCGTTCTGGCATTTCTACATTGTTTTAGGTTGCTCGTTTGTCCCCAGGATCACAAAAATAGACACTGATGTGGCTGCAGAGGAGACACCCCCACCCTGGGATTTTTAGGCCTTTCCTATTTTTATAACAAAGGGCTGTAATTATAGTCTGGCAGGAGGGAGCGCCGCAAGGCGAACATAAAGAACAGGCTGAGATGGGCAGAATCTATGAATTAATATTTCTTTTTATAACGCAGGGCAATTTACAAAGACCTTTGAAGCCTCAAGAGATCTGGCATGGGCTATGTGGGGTTTCTTTATACGTTCATGCCCATGCTCTGGAATCCCTGTGTCCTGTGACGTGGATTTGAGCTGTTAACTCTTTGTTCAGGTCGTCAGCTAGCACAATGCCATTGTCCCATCCAAGGCTGCATCCTGTGATGACTTGGCTTCTGTCATCAGCAGACTCTTTAGGCTGTGACATTCTCTTCAGATGCTCAAGTGCAGGACTTAGATTGTGTTGACCTTGGTGGTGAATTTGCTGGCCCCAAGGGCATCAGAGATGAACCTGGGGTGCTCTTTATTCTGGTCATGTTCCTGTATCAGAGCCTGAGGCTCTCTGACAGCACAGTGTGTGGCCACGAGCTTGACTCTGGCCAGCTCTGCCTCTTCCTATTTGTGTGAGCTGCTGTTGCCTCAGTTTCCCCTGATTGCCAAGGAGACTCTGTGATAAATCAGCCAGTGTGTGCAGAGCACCACAGGTGCCATGGCTTTGACCCTGACCTCACGCACCTTCCTATGCAGCACGGAGCTCCAGGCTCTGCCCAACTCCCCTGACTTCACTTCCTGTGCACTAGGGAACTTTCAAACTCCAGGTCCCTAGAGCTGGTAATGCCACCTCAGCACGATTCCTTTTGAAAAACAAAACAAAAACATCATGATCCAATGACTCTGGGAACAATTTAAGGACAGAGAAATCTTCCTATGACTCCAAAGGCAAAGGGGCTCTTACGAAGCAGCCCACAGCTGTGGGAGACGTGCCTGCCGCGTGCATGTGTGCGTGCGTGTGTGCGTGTGGTCATGAGGAGTGTTGGGAGGCTGCTAACATCTCACAGTGCTGATCTTCTCTGTTCTCGTCTGGCCGCTAACAAACAGGCTGTGTGTGTTGCAGTGGGACATGGATGGCGGCTTTCCAGGCTGTGGGAGCAGAGGCCCTGTGGAAGAGGTGCTTTATGATAACGCTGGCCTCTACGATAACTTGCCATCGCCGACAATCTTTGCTCGCTCTTCTCCTGCTGACCGGAGGGCGTCTCGGCCGCCCGCTGACAGGCTGTCCTCTAACCACTACAAATCCCCCACCTCCTGCAGCCCACCCTGCTCCCCATCTGTCACTAACACCTCTTCTGTGGGGAGGGCGTCTCTCGGGCTGCACTCCCAGGTACAGACTACGTTCCTAAACACCCCCCCCCCCCCCCCCCGGCATCAGTGAGTCTGCAGTGACCATGTGCTCACCACCCCACACACACCAAAGTGTCACACAGTCTTCAGCCATAGCCACTGAGGGACTAGAGACACATTTGTGACCAGCTCCTAGATTGTCTCCCAGAATTCCCCAGTACATTTTGAGAACTGTGTCAGAGATTATAAAAAGAGGCCATGCAACTTTCCAGAAAATTCTGGAATGTCAGGTTTTTCTACTATATTCTACCTCGGGTATAAGTTAGCAAGGGTTGCCCCCAGGGAGTGGTTACTTCCTGTCCTTAAATATGACCAGCACCATGCGGAGAATCAGAGTTCTGTCAGGGAGAGGATGACATGTGCCCTGCACCTGTGTGACAGGAAGGCTCTGGTTTTGAGCGGAGATAGACTTGAGGCTCAACTCTTGTTCCTCTACTCTGTGGCGTGCACCAACATTCCTGAGCAGACACTAACTGCTTCCATGAATTTTTAACCAAGTATACTCTTCATTTGTATACTCTGCCCGGAGTCCTGGGTACCTCATTTAGGGACACTCTGAAAAGAGAAAGCAACAGGCCAGGCTTTCTGCATTCTGTTACACTTGTTGGGCAGTTTTAAGAAAATAACAGACACCAGGCAGGGTCCTAGGCCTCCAGGTAGCAGTGACTCACAGTCTCACCTCCAGACACTGTTTTGTCAGAAGAGACACAGAAGGCTTGCTGTGTTAGCACAGTTTTGCAGATTGCCACCCCCTGGAGCATCTGACTCCTGATGGGAGGGGTATGGACCCCTGGCTGAGTGACCAGCCTGAGAACCATTGGCCTCTACAGTTTCACCAAGATCCCTGCCCAGATCGGGTCATTTACTATGTATCTATCCATTTGCTGGTAGCATAGTTGTCTTTGGTGAGCTTAGTAAATCTGCCCCCTGTGCATTGGGATTGTTCCCTTGCTGGTCAGGTATCACCCAATACATGGCCTAGTCAGATATCACGTGATACATGGGATGGTGCTATCACTGCTGCTTACCCTAGTCTCTGTTACAAATAGGAAACAGTCCCAGGCTGAATTCTAGTGCCTTTGCATGTCACACCCTTGTGTGGCCATTCTTTTGGGACCCTGTTGGTTGTGAGAGCATACACTTCCAGAGAGCACCTGGCTGCCATCTTGTGCATGGATGTGCAGTGTCACTTAGAGTTCTGTGGGAGATGCCAGTGTCTTTACATTTTTTTTAAGTGAGCAAGCAGAGGTTCCAAAAGTTTCAAAGGGCTAGCTCAGGGTCTCCTGAGAGACAAGCCAGAATTGCAGCTAGATCTTTATGCCGCTCCACACTGGGCCCCCAACATGAGAAGTGGGCAGTGGGAGGTGGATAGGGAGGAGAATGACAGGGCCTGGGTGTCAAATTCCTTCTGTGTCGCTCAATGCCTGGCATACAGTGTCACCTGACAGATATGAAGATGTGGCTTGCAGAAGTTGGGTGAGCAGAGGACCGTTGGATTTTTTTTTAAGCTTATATCTGGTCAAGGCTTACTTTGAATATGTTTATGCTATTTCCATATATGTGTCTTTTGCATCCTTCCTCAGAAGCATCTGATCTGAAAGGAGGTTATGTATCTTATTATTACATCACTCGGTTAAGGGCAAGAACCAGGCCCTTCCGATAGGAGCAGTCCCCTTATGGAAAAGTGACATAGCTCTAGGAATACAGGTCCAAGGTTCTCAGAGGGTATTGCTGCATACCTGTTCATGGTCACTCGGAGCTGCTTTCTTATCAGCACTTAAGGCCCCAGTAGAAACCTAACATCCCTCCCACTGCAGATTTCCTGGTAGTCCTGGGTAGCCAGCCTTCAGTGCTGGGAAGCTTCCTAGCTGTCAAAGGGACTTCGAGGAAGCCCCAGGGACTGGAAACCAAATTGGTTTCCTTTGTCTTCTGACCATGCCAGTAGGTTGTACTTAAGAGTCAGAGACTAAAAGGAATAACTTCAGGCAACAGGGTGCTTTTGTTCGACTATTTTTAATTTTCTCTGTGTGTTTCAACAGTTGAAGAGCAAAAAACCTCCAGCATCATCTAACGGGCTTCCTGTAAAGGGAAAGGCTCCGAGCAGCCAGCAAAAAAAGGTGGAATCTGCAGGTGGCGTGAAACGGACAGTGTCAAGTGAGTTTCCCCTCTGGCTCCTCTTTCTGCTTTGGGGCAGCTTGCAGACTTGAGGCTGACTGAGCCACTCCTGCAGCAGATGCCAGCCTTAGGGGGTGCCAGGAGGAGGGACAGTGTGCATTCCCCATCCCCCTCCTCACCTGCCAGGAGCTTTAGCCCAGCCTCTGTAACTGTTGCTTAGCTTCTTGGTACGGCATTCAACCATGAGACACTGGGCCTGTAGTCCAGGAGACTCTAGTTTGTGTCCCTAGAACACCACTGACAAATCATGTAAACTGAATACACCCCCTTCATCTATCAGACGTGCAGGTAGTTGATCACTGTGGTCGATGCAGTGGGAATGGTGATGCTGGGTGCCTAAACCACAGCCCCCAAACGCTCAAGGGCACAGGAGGCCTTGCTACAGCCAGCGCCTTCCACGCCTGCTGGTCTCCCACAGCTGTGTAGTCAGTGTTAGTGCTGTGCACCTCCTTATGCAAATGAGGGATGAGCCCCAGGTAGTACAGGAGAGCCAGAGGTCTCACAGCAGACCAGCCGCTGAGTTAGGATGTGCGTGGGCCAGGCTTCATACTGCAGAGCCAGCTGTGCAGAGCAGGCAGACAGACACAGCCTGCCTGAGAGTTCAGCAGCCCTCCTCCATCGGCAGCTAGAGCTGGGTGTGCTGGCGTCCTGAGTTTGCGTTTGCGCTACCCAACTGCATTGGGCGATCTCCCACTCGGACAGCCAGCCCGTGGGATTATTCATTCAGGATGCTCACTCATTGCTGGGAATGCAGTGAGGAGATCATGACAGCTTAGAAAAGCAGGCATAAGGACTGCGTGGGGCTCTGCAGGTCCTGGAGCTCCTCCATCAGTGTCCAAGCAAGTGTCCATGCCGAATCATGGCATGCCACCACTACTTGGGATTCCTATGTGAGCCTTCTAGTCTGCAGCCATGCAGTTGAGAGATCAGCTTCTGTGATAGTGGGTAAGGCTTCACCTGGGGACCTCCATTCCTACTTGGTACAGGAGAGAAAAGGCCTCAGACCTACATGTGGCTGACATCCATTGTAGAGTCAGAGTCCACAAGGGCACAAAAAGGCTGTCCTTTTCTATGGTCAAAGCATGGATGAGCCTTGGAACTTCAGCAACATTTGGCTGCTTTGACCCCAGGGAACCTTTGAATTCTCAAGAGGAGTTTGTCTACGCCTCTGCTTTCAAACCTGTATTTCAAATAGGCGTGTCAGGAGTCTGTCAGACTGGGTCTACTTTGTCACCGACTTTGGTCCTTCCCCTCTCTCTGTAATTTCATTCCTCGATGTCTTGGGTGTGCTCACACTGTTGTTCTTAGTGTTGTTCATTCAGGGAGGTGCAGGAGTCAGAGGATTGCATCGGCCTAAAATGCCTTGTTAAGCAAGATCTGAATCCCACGCGGGCTCCTTCAGCCTGGTGTTTCTCACAGCCCTCTGCTCGCTTTATTTTATGGATGATTTATCTCAGTATCTGGTGGGACCTTCTGTAGGGAATGTTTTATTAACTTTAGTGACATCTAATGGAAACAAAAGAGAAAAATAATTGCATCCTGCACTTCTGCAGAGTTCAGCCGATCGCGTTACAGTTGTATAGAGTTTATTGCATGGGGACCGAATTGTATGTGTGTGTGGGGGGAATTTATAAGCTGTAATCTTTAGGTTTGTTGGGGGACATATTGGTTTAGACAGTGGAGTTTTTTACAGTTTAGCATGCAATTGTCTAGAAGTGCCTCGGTTTCACAAGAGAGGGTAGTTGCTCTTAAGCTGAGGATCAGGCCATGTCATTCTGTGGAGGTCTTTTTGGTGAGGGAAGGCATGCTGACATGGGAAGGGCACACATCTCCATGAATAGGATACATTATTGAAGACGCAATGGTAGACCCAGCTCAGGGCAGGCACTGCATGAGCAAGACTGACAAGCCAGTCATGACTGATTGCCATGGGGGCTGCCTGTGAGTGTCCACCCACCCTAGGCATCTTATCACATAGTTATCTGTGTTAGGGACATGAATCCACTTTTAAAGATGCACACAGCAGCCCTTGTCCCTCCATGGCTTCTACTCTGAAACAGACAGACATGCAGATGGGCAGTGACAGACAGACAGGCAGGGTCCAGCTACCCTTGGATGGTACAGCAACTGTAGAGATGATAGAGGCAACCTCAGGGTCATGTGAGCATCTCCTGCCCCTCAGCATCTTCTCCAGGGAGGTTTTTCCTAAATTCCTCTCTGACTGCTCTAAGTTCCTGTCTTGACTTCCCCACAATAACACACTGCAGCCTGAAACTAATCCAAGCTGAAGAGACTGTGGGGCCTGGGTTCAATACTGTGTGAACTGCGATGTGCTAGTGGCCAGGATTCTGGGTCTCCCCCAAAGCATTTACTTATTTACGCATTCACTGTTCAGTCATTAAATTTTAACAGCTACTTATAACAAGACTCATTTGGGTAGTTACTTTAAGTGCTTTATAAATATTAATTTAATTTTTATAGCTGTCTGTGAATGGCCTGCTCTTATTCCCATTTTACAGGAGGAGAAACTGAGGAAGAAATCCATTCTAGGTTTTGGAGCTTCAAGACTGTCCTCTAAATAGTGGGTCTCCAAACACCATGTGCTGTCTTTCTGTCATTTTATTTGCTGGAGAAGCTCCTCCTCCCCCAGAATTTCAGGCCAAGAAGATGTCCTCCCTTCAGCCAGGAGAGGGCTAAGAACAGACTTGGGAGTGAAGAGAGGTGTTGCAGATAGAAAGGACTACATAAACTCTAGGAGGCTTTGTTTTCCTGTGTGTTTTATGCTTACATGTATATCCACGCACCGTGCATATGCCTAGTGACTGAGGAGGGCAGGAGAGGGTGTTGGACGCCCTGGAACTGGAGTTACAGATGATTGTGAGCTGTCATGGGTGTTGGGACTTGGATTTTGGTTCTCTAGGAGAGCAGCCAGTGCTCTTAACCATGGAGCCATCCCTCCAACCCCTCTAGAGGTTGTTTTCCACTGAAACAGGTTGCAGTTCTAGCTTCATTTCTTTTGCTGTAACAAATACCCCAACAAAAACAATGTAGGGAAGGAGGAGTTTCTTTGGCTGACAGTTACAGGTCACAGTTACAGGTCACAGTTACAGGTCACAGTTACAGGATACAGTTACAGGTCACAGTTACAGGTCACAGTTACAGGTCACAGTTACAGGGTACAGTTACAGGTCACAGTTACAGGTCACAGTTACAGGGTACAGTTACAGGTCACAGTTACAGGGTACAGTTACAGGTCACAGTTATAGGTCACAGTTACAGGTCACAGTTACAGGTCACAGTTACAGGATACAGTTACAGGTCACAGTTACAGGGTACAGTTACAGGTCACAGTTACAACAGTTACAGGGTACTGTTACAGGTCACAGTTACAGGTAACAGTTACAGGTCACAGTTACAGGGTACAGTTACAGGACACAGTTACAGGGTACAGTTACAGGTCACAGTTACAGGGTACAGTTACAGGTCACAGTTACAGGTCACAATTACAGGTCACAGTTACAGGGTACAGTTACAGGTCACAGTTACAGGGTACAGTTACAGGTCACAGTTACAGGGTACAGTTACAGGTCACAGTTACAGGGTACAGTGTGTCCTGAGAAAGTCAAGGCAGGTGCTTAAAGGAGCCAGTGCCTTCTGATCCACAGTCAAGGGTGGAGAGAAGAAATCCATGGTTACCTCCCTGATGTCCAGCACTCAGCCAATTCTCTCCCCTTGTACATGTTCCAGGGCCTCATGATAATGTGCCACCCACAGGGTGTAAAAATGCAGGGTATAATAATCAAGACACTCCCTCATGGACATGGCGACATACCAAGCTGTTCTAGGTAATTCCTCCTTAAGACTTTTTCCAGATGGTTCTAGATTATATCAAGTTGACAGAACTGTCCAGGTCACTGCCTTGCCAGGTTCCAGAATCTCCACTCTGAGCCTTACTGACAATTACTTGAAAGCCAATGCCTTTTGGGGAGGAACATTGAAGGGACTCCTCGGTATTCTGTCTCCATTTGTAAACAAACAAATCAAAGTATTAGAGGATTTGAGGCAAGTCAAGAGTCCCCGCTCCAAGCCTGCTAGCGTGTTAGGACTAGCTGGGAGCAGCTCTAGTGCCCCAAGAGCTGCTGAGCCACAGGCATCGCAGCCCGACTCCTCTGATTGAGCTAACTCTGTGTTCCTTGCTCAGATGCTGAGCAGTACAAATACGGTAAGAACCGGGTAGAAGCAGATGCCAAGCGCTTACAGTCCAAAGAGGAAGAGCTGCTGAAGAGGAAAGAGGCCCTTCGGAACAGGCTGGCACAGCTCCGGAAAGAAAGGAAGGACCTGAGGGCTGCCATCGAAGTGAATGCAGGTATGGGGACTTGGCCCTGATGGCCCATGTGCCTGTGTCCACTGGAGTTCTAGATTCCATTCAGGTCACCCCAGATCCATTGGCCAAGGCTGCCTCTTTAGCCTTGCCTCCTGGGGTGCTGGCCTTGTGGGGGGAATCCCAGGGTAGCACAGGGTTGGCTCAGTGGTGCCACCATAGGCAGAGACTGTGCCCTGACCCCAGCTGCACAGTGAGACTCCAGCAATTTCAGCCTCAGGTGCTGACAGCCAAGGTTGGCAGATTTTGGTCCTTGTCTGAGGTGACTCGGCTGGGCTTCTGTGGAGGAAGCAGCCAAGGGGGCTGAGAAGTTTTCTCAGAGCTCTGCCAAAGTCAAACAGCTCTCTATTCTCAGAAGGACCTGGAGAGAGCAAGGCTGACATGGGTTTGAGGACCAGAGAAAAGGACTATGGTAGTGACCCCTAAAAAGGGGCAGAGCAAGGACAGCTGTCAGGGTAGCGGTGTTGAGAAATATGTAGTACCCAGGTGCAGGCTAGACCTTGCTTCTGCCAGCCCTCCTGATCCAGAATGGAAATTAACACCACCCTCTGGTCCTGGCCAGTGGCCCCACTTGGGCAAGGCTTTTCATATGAGGCCTCTACTAGCTGAGGAGAAGGGTGTCTGTGCAGTGGATGGGGAGCCCAGAGGGGTCACTGGCTTCCAGAAGGCTTCAGTGTAGGCTGAGGCTAGTCCATGTGCCCATCATAGTTCCCCAGAACTGAGTTCTGTCTGAATTATGGCTGTTCAGGGAAGTGATTTGGGGGGCAGAGAACAAGAAGGTAAAGGTGGGCCCATTAGGATAATCTGTGGGAGCGGGTCGGGCAAGGTGTCAATATCAGGCTGCCTGAGCCAGGTAGAGACCTGGATCTCTGACAGGGAGGGAGCACGGTACATACAGAGCAGCTTTTCTACCTGCCGGTGCCAAGTCACAGGACAGAGATGCAGAAAGGCCCCAGGTCTGCCCTGAGAGGCCAGGCTCCCTGTGTCCGTGGTTTACCCACTTCCCCGACCCCAGGTCTGCCCTGAGAGGCCAGGCTCCCTGTGTCCTGTGGTTTACCCACTTCCCCGACCCCAGGTCTGCCCTGAGAGGCCAGGCTCCTTGTGTCCCATGGTTTACCCACTTCCCCGACCCCAGGTCTGCCCTGAGAGGCCAGGCTCCCTGTGTCCTGTGGTTTACCCACTTCCCTGACCCCAGGTCTGCCCTGAGAGGCCAGGCTCCCTGTGTCCTGTGGTTTACCCACTTCCCTGACTCAGTTTTCTTTTCTGTCCATCTCTGCATTTCCTGCTCATATTGGTCATCACAACAAATTTCAAAGAGACAAATTTACTGCCAAACCTTAGAGAACCATATGCCAAGGCTTAAAGAGATATAGGCAACATTTTGTGACCATGGAAGAATTTACAAATTGTCTTAGTTAGGGTTTTACTGCTGTGAACAGATACCATCACCAAGGCAACTCTTAAAAAGACAGCATTTAATTTAAGGGTGGCTTACAAGCTCAGAGGCTCAGTCTATTATCTTCAAGGCAGCACCCAGACAGACATGGTGCAGGGGGAGCTGAGAGTTCAACATCTTGTTCCAAAGGCAAACAGAAGACTAGCTCCCAGGCTAGGACAAGGATCTTAAAAGCCCACCACCACAGTTACACATTTCCTCCAGTAAGGCCTCACCCACTCCAACAAAGCCACAATTCCAAATCGTGCCATTCCGTGGGCAAGCATATTCAAACCATCATGACAGTAGTCCACATTTGAGACCTCTCCTTCTTCAGCTTCCTAGACAGTGCCCCCTCTGGACACTTTGTTCTTACTCTTAAGTCATGAGGCTCCTTGGGCTGTGTAGGATTATGTTAGACTCCTGGCCCTAATTTCACACAGCAACAGGTTATTAGGAAAGGATCTGGGCTCTGCAGGGAGCAGTTGGGCTGGACCACTGTGGGGAAGATCTAGAAGAACTCAGCTAGGTCGGCCCCTCTATGAGGTAACCATATATAACCATATATCCCTGGAATTTCAGGCAGGAAGACCCAGGCGGCCCTGGAGGACAAGTTGAAGAGGCTGGAAGAAGAGTGCAAGCAGAGGGAGGCAGAGCGGGTCAGCCTGGAGCTGGAGCTGACCGAGGTCAAGGAGAGCCTGAAGAAGGCCTTGGCGGGTGGCGTCACCCTAGGACTGGCCATCGAGCCCAAGTCAGGGACATCCAGTCCACAGGTGAGTGTCCTGAAGGCACAGCACACAGAAGTGCTCCACGGTCTCTCAGGCAGCACGTTCACCACCGTGGGTGGTATTCACGTAATGTTCCCACTGTGTGCAGGGTATGGAGGCACTGATGTCTCCTGTGTTCACCGGAGTGTTTAAAGGTCAGTACTGAGTTGTCTCTGCATGGTCAGGTGACAAAGGCCAGCTCTCCTACCTTTTCATCCAGTCTGACTTGACAGCAACTTGCTAGGCAGGAACTCGCTCTCACCCTGACAGTGCTGCCTGGTGTCTGGAAGCTGCAGAGACTGGAACATAATAATCTGGGCCCCAAATCAGGCATGAGGGGGACACCTGTCAAGACTGAGCTCTTATTCTTAGTCATGGCCCCTCATTGTCACCTGTCGTAGCCACTGAGACTTGCTGTTGTCCCTATCTGTCCCCTGGCCATGAGTAAGCATGGAATGGGTGTTCATGCCTCCTGTGTCTCCTGAGGGTCCTCTCTATGCCCTGGGATTGCCTCCTGCATTGGTGACAGCATTATGTATAATTGTAGACAGACCACGTCCGCAGAGGAGTGGCTTGTTAGGCAGGTCCTTCTGCTGCAGACACTTATTGCTTTGCCATCTCCAGAGACCAGGGGTCTTTATTCTGTGTTTGCACTAGTGACCACGCCCACCCAGAATCGATGCAGCCTCTGAAAATGTCCAAGGAAAGGTCTATGCTGCCAAAACATTGAGCTGGAAGCATTCCAGTCGGGAGCCCTCACATGGGTTCTGGGCTGACGTTGCTCTGAAACAACACCCTTACACATCCCCAGTGTGTTTCCGACGTTCTGTGTCATATGATGATGACAGGGTCTCCACAGTGCTATGCTTTGTCTCAAAGGACCGTGCTTTGTCTCAAAGGACCGTTTTTGATCCTATATAGAAGAGCCGACAAGCCAAATCAGACCCAAGGCACCCGAGAAGATAAGTTGTTTCATTTTGAGCTTTCCAAAAATTTCTCTCCAGCATCTGCAAAGTGGGGGAGAGGTCCGAGACCCAGTGTCACTAGGGGCCACTTATCATCCTGGAACACCAGGCTAATGCTGCTTGCTGCTGGCAGCTTCTGCTTACTGGGTCTGACCCTCTCAGTGGCAGGCAGTTCTAGGAAACATTTGCAAACTTAAGAAGCACAACATTGATGGACAGGTGAGGGAGGAGGTGAGGGTAGGAGTGTGACCCCGAATCTGGCCTCTTGGTTTCCGTCCCTCTGAACGTGCACCGAGGATCAGGCGCTGCCTGTGGTGGTCCTTCCTAATTTGGCCCGTTTCCGTATCTATTTCTTCTTTACTAAACTATTTCTGCCTGAGAAATGCCAGTGGCTGAGAACCACCCCTCACCCAGGGCTCTCCTCTCGTTAACAGTCTCCTGTGTTTCGGCATCGGACCCTAGAAAATTCTCCCATCTCCAGCTGTGACACCAGCGATGCTGAGGGGCCTTTGCCTGTGAACAGTGCCGCCATCCTGAAGAAGAGCCAACCATCCTCAGGCAGCTCCCCTTGCCGTGGGCACGTGTTGCAGAAGGCCAAGGTGAGCCCACTGGCAGGGCCAGGTACCTGAGCTCAAAATGAACCCTACTGCACTTGGCACTCAGTCTCCTGCCAGAGGTGCTAAGCAATTCCACCACCACCCCAGATGACACCCAACACCCTCAGGGACTGGGGTTCAAAGATATCCACCAAACCTGAGCCCCTCAAAGCTCTAGGTCACCTTAGAAATGAGCAAGAAAAGACCCCCACCCCTGGCCTGGTCTTCTTTGGGCAGAGTGACCCCAATATCCTCTCTAGCACTTGCCTGCTGTGATTCTCCAATGAAGAAAGAAAAAGCCAGAAAAATACGTTTTCTCCAGGCTGTCCCCAGCACCCTGGCCATCAACCCAGGGTCCCTCCTTTCCCTGCAGTCAGGAAGAGGAACCACCAACCTTTGCTGTGATTAAATCCTAAGGATTCTCAAAGCATAATTTCCAGATGATCAGAACCAGCGCGTCTCGCCCATGGTGACGGAGCAGCTGTAATGGAATGAAATAGAAGCAGCAGCAGGTGGAGCTGAGCTGGCCAGGGGAGGAGGACTTGAGTCCAGATGGTGTCCCTTTGTCCTGAAGATGGAGGAGGCTGAGCGTGCACTCTGCCCTGTCTCCAGGATCTGTAGTGCTGGCATTGATGTGTCGAGCATCCAGCAGTCCAAGCCCCTCCCTCGGGACAAATTCCATATAGGGAAAGGACTGTGCTATGCTCTTAGGGTGTCCTGGGATGCTGCTAGGAGTTGTGCTTGCCTAGCCTCTCAGTGTGCGTGCTTCCCCAACAAGTGTGCTTTCTGGAAGGCTTCACGGTGGAGTGGGAGAAGGTTACTGAGCTAGAGCTGTGTGATTCCTCTACCATCAGAGAAGAGGGTGAGACGCTGAGCCATGCTATGAAAGAAAGGCTCCCTCCGCTCAGGCTGTTCAGCTTTGTCCCCTTCTGATGGTGAACACGAAACCTCTGACTGTCAGTATGAGACACAGACACCTTCATACAGTTCCCGTACAGAGTAGGTGGGCTTCTGGTCCCAGTTGTAGCCAGTACACAAACAGGAGTTGTGGAGGTTCTTGTCACTGCAGCTGATCTCTGACACAGCCTCAAGAGTGGACTTGAGAAGAATGATCCTCATGTCAGGGGGGCCCCTTGAGCTTTGGTGTGTGTGTGTGGGCATATTGACTAGGCCAAACATTCTCTTGACTTTTCTAGAATCAAAAGTTCACGTGTAATTAATGGCTAATAGCACAGAACTGGCAGAAATAAGAACCCTAATGGAGCAGTTGGCAGAATCAGGAACACTCGGGCAGGCAGGAAGGGCATGCCACAGCCCTAGATTGGTGGTTTGGCTCTGCAGAGGAGAATACCTAGCCAGGTCCCCATCTCAACCTCCCCAGACACCTCCATGATGGTTGAGAATATGTGCTGAGAGCCCCATGTCTGAGGGCAGCATGCTGGGCCTGCTACCCTGTCCCCTTGCCGCCCTGCCCCCCCACCCCCAGCAGCTGTGTCCACTTCACCCATCCAGCCACCTGTCACCCACCTTCTTGTGGTAAAAGAAGCAGAACTAACCTGACCTATTAATAGGTCATCTCCATGTGTGTCCCACCACCAGAACTTTATCTTCCTAGATGAAACACCAAAACACCAATACCATCTTCTTACCTTGCCCCAGGTGTATACTGCGATACTGTTTATCTCTGTGAACTTGAGTGCCTTGGGCTTCCATGTAAATAGACTCAGATGATATGTAGTCCTTACTTACATGATATCACATCGGTTGGCTCTCCCTTCCTGGTTCTGCCTGATGAGTGTCCCATGTCTGGAGGGGCCACATTTACCTATTTGCTCCTGTTGGGTATTTGGATTGGGTTTATCTCTGGCTGGCTCCTTAGAAGTGGATGGCTGGATAATTCTTTTGTTCAGGGGGAGCCTGCATCCTGTTGTCTGTGGCTGAGCCCCCACACTGCGTAGATCTCTTAGGCTCTTGGGCCATAGCGGCTTGTGGCAGCCAGGATCAAGCTGCCTGCACTCACACATCTCTCTTCTCCAGGAGTGGGAGCTGAAGAATGGGACATAGAGGGAGCCCAGCCTCGCCCAGAGACTGTGTACTGCCACCAGCCTCGCGTGTGACACGTGCGCCTCCCAACGTGGCCTGAGCATGACTGCAGAAGTTTGGATGAGACTGATGCTGACCCTTGGCTGGCTTGCGTGCACGCTTTCTACTGTATGATGGTGCCCTTTAGGAAAGTTTACTTTAAAACTTTTGGTGTCCAAATTTACATGTTTAAGAAGCAGAAACAAAAGGGGCTGACAAGTTGTCCTGAAGCACCCTCTAGCAGAGGGGGCACTTCTGAGGACCTCAGCTCAGCTCCAGAGCCTGCAGCCCATGGACCGCGCGCCCCTGAGAGACGGGGTGGCCCAAGCCTTCCCCATGTGCGGTCAGGGCTGCATACCTCACCGTTTGCCACAGGGTCCTACTCTGCAGCAGCTGCATGAGCGCCTGTGTCTGCACACCCCCTCCCTCTCCCCGCCTGTCCCTTGTCACTGGAGGTAAAGCCATGAGGAATAGTGCTGTGAAGCGAAGATTCAGTTTTGGTTTTGGACAAACCTTTTGTCACCAGGATAGAGAAGTTGTCATTCTTTTTACCAGTGTTTTTCATGTTGGCTTTTAAAGAAAATGCTCCCCCCCTTTTTCATCATATGCTATGCTTGGACGTTAGGGACTTCTCAGAGACCCGTTTCCTTCCCATTTTATGATGTACTCTGAGAGGCAGCACAGAGCTTTCAGTTCTTGGCTAGCATGTGCCCCCCTCCCCTTTCTCCTGGCCTGAGGCCCCAGCTTCCCAGGCTGCCAGGCAGGAGCTCCTCAGCCCAGGAAGCACACTAACCACCATCTGCCTGTGGATTTAACAGAGCAGGCTCTAGAACCTGTAGTTTAACCTGGACTGTCTTTGAGCAGAGACGATCCTTCCAGAGCACCTTCCTCCAGTTTACAGTCGAAGCCCTGGATCACAGGTGCACTCCCGGGCCTAGGTTTGGATTGTGTGGGCCCCTCCCACTCTCCTGCTTGCCTCTGTGCACTTCGTAGAATAGTTCAGCTGCTCAGGATGACAACTCATGGAGGCTAGCCTCTATCTTAGGGGTTTGAGAGTCAAACTGGCTTTTTGGGCTTCCAGGGTACAGTTCAAACCTTTCCACCATGGGGAGATGCAGGCAGTGACCTGGAAGTTTGACATTGCTGCAGACTTGTGTGGGGCCAGTTATACACAGGTGAGAACCTGGTGATTCCTTCCCATCACAGCCCAGAATGTCCTTAGCACACACAAGAGGAAAGTCTCCCTGGCTCTCTGTAGAAGTGCCTTTAGGCTCTTTTCTGGGCAGCCTTCATGGCCAGGATGGGTGCTCTGTGCTTGAGCCCTGCAGCAGCTGCCTTGGAGTCACCAAAGAGCAGCACAGTGGTCACCAGGGTACAGGGACATCACAATGTACAGGGAAACTGCTCAGCTGAAGGTCTGACCCAGACTAGCCCAGTGTAGACATTTGCCAGCTGTCTAATGGTGCTTCACTCTAGTGCCTTCCTCCAAAGGGCAGTTAGGGTTCCTCAAACCAGCATTTGTGTGGGCTAGTTTCTGCCAGGAAACTGTAGAAGGACCAGGAGGAGGGATGCAGCCTCCGCACACACCAGCCTGTTCATAGAGCTGCAACTGGGGGAGCTTCTTAGGTCATCCCAAGGAGCTGTGACCATCTCATGCTCTGAAAGGGAAGAGGATTTAATGTGCCATAGACTTCTGCTGCCTCGGGTCTCAGAGCAGTGCTTTTGGCCACTCTAATAGCAGCCCTGCTCTGCCAGGAAAGCTGTTCCAGGCTTTGATTGTTACCAAAACAAGGAGAAGATGCTCAATTTAACAGCCAGTCCTGGCCAGCATAGAGGGACATGGTGAAGTGTCATGTCTAGCAGATAAGCCTCAGATGAGTTGTCCTGATGAAGACAGCAGGCTCCAGGCTCCTGGTGTTTATAATTTGTGCTGAGAAACCCAGGCTTGCCGTCCATTCAACTGTGTTGGATCCTGTAAGTTCCTCAGAGCTGTATAAAGTAGGTCCCGGGGAAGGTAAGGCTCCCAACACAGGGCTCTACTGTCCTGTGCTCCCATTAATGTCCTTAGATTTGGTCAGAAAGCTAGTTTAAAGCATTTGTTTTAAAATAAGTTATTTATTTCTATATGTTCAATAGAGTTTTAATTTATATTTGTACATATTGGACACCCATGATCCCATCAGGATTCTCAGTGTTCTCATTCTATGACCCTCCCAAAGCCACTAGCATGATCTCAGCCATCGATAGCACAGGTTTGCCTTGTGTGGAGCCAGGTAGGCAGAGGGCTGAACCCTTTCCGTGAGTGATCGGGTCCTCTGGACCATGGGAGATGCTCCACTTCTTGGGGCCTCTCTTTGTCTGAGGCCACACTGTTTCTCGGTCCACTGTTGTTACAATTTGGCAAGATGTCATCAGCTTTCATAAACCCCCTCGACTTTTATGTCTGTTTACCAACTAATTATTTGCATGCAAATATCACGCTGGCCTGGGGATTTGCTGTGGCTGGCTTGGGCATGGCGGTGGGACCCTCAGTGTCACACAATCTCATGTACCAGTGTTCTTACAAGGGTGATCGTGGGACAAACAGGTTATCCCAGGAGCCAGAATGACCTGTCAGGACAGTATGCACCCACTTCACACAGATTCTTCCCGAGTGCTCGCTGCTCGCCTGCCTCATGTGTCAGTGTCCTGCCCCTTCCCCGTGCATGTCTTGGTCCTGCCTCACCTGCCTGTCCACCTCATCTGCCCACGGCCCCAGTTTCCCTTTGGTTGTCTCTGTGTCTCACACCCACACTGATGGGACTTTTAGAAAATCTTGTTTTGAAAAGCGATGTCCCAGGCCCTGAGGCCATCGAGGAAGGCTTCCGCTATGTGGAGACCACAGTCCCCCAGGTAGAATCCACATGCAGGCAGCAGCAGGGGTGTCCCTGGCTTCTCCTCCCAAAGTCAAGGGACAAGCCTGCCCTGTCGTTGCCCTCCACCCTGTGCTCTGGGGATCCTTGAGCCAAGTCGAGTCATTTACACCCACCCTCACCAGCACACAGGACACCTTCAAGGTCCGTTCTATGGGTGTGGCCACATCAAAATGATCTCTCTCTCTCTGTCTTTTTTAGTAATTTTGAATCAGAAACATTTCAAATCCATGACATAGTTTTTATAGAAGCAACTGAATGTCTGGGTCTTGTTCCCACTGACTTACTACTAATCATGCCAGAGAGCTGGATTTCTACTGTGAAATAAACTGAAAATAACCCCCCTGTGCCATCCACACACAGCCCAGTCCCAGGGAGAGGCAGAAGCAGCTTGGCCATGTCCCTGGCAGGGGAAGCCCATCCCTCCATTTTGAGGAACATTCTTTGCCAGTAGATGCAGACACACCACTGTGGTCTTTGGAAACCTGGGCTTCCCACATGCTGGGTTGGATTATCATTTCAAAGTGGTGACTTTAGTTCATAATTCTTAGGGACCAAAGGTGTTTTTAATATGATAATGTTTTAATTGATTTTCTAACAAGGGTTTACTCTACATTTTAACACCAGTTTTGTTTTTTTTTTTTTTATATTCTAGATATTCCAAATCGATTGCTCGTGGTTCTAAGTTGTAAAGTGTTTTCACGTTATGAATGTAATTATTTCCTTAATGTATTTTTTAAAAAAACTAAAATCATATTTAAAATAATCTTGGAAAGACACAGGCAAAGAAAAGAGAAAGGTTTTTTTTTTAATTAACTATGTTAGTAGCCCATTTGAAATGACTGTAAATATATTTTGATTGTGTAGCTCAATGTATTTAATTCAGAAAGTAAAAAATTTTTATGTAAAGAGACTTGCAATGAAAAACTCCTAGTTTTCAGTCCGTGTCCCCCATCCTGTAGTCACTTCACCTGACTTTTCTGCTCTACAAACTGATTTTTTTCTACTGTTGTAACCGTGTACCCATCGACTGGCGCCCATTGGCGGAACTTGTTTGTGTATTAATAAAACTGTGCTGAGTGGCCCAGCCTCATGTCCTCCTGACAGTGGCTCATGGTGCAGAAGAAGATGTCTACAGTTGTCTGAGTCATCACTTCCGGTCACTCAACAGGTGGGAGGGGCCAGATCTCACCGGTGTGCAGGGAGGGTAGCGTACACAAGAAATCCCCTTGCGTTAGAGGACCCTTGGGGATTTTTCTGAGTGGTTTTGGTCTGTGGACCTGAGTATTTAACTCAGTAGACACCATCACTGCCTCCTTGCCTTCCCACTCGGTGCCAAGTGTTGGAAGCAGAACGAATCCCCTAGATGCCCACTCTCAGGTGCCAGCAGACACAGATGCACTCTGGTGGGTGGTGCTGTATGGGAATTTGAGGAACTGTAGATGAGGCAGCAGCTTTGAAGCCCAGTAGAGTTCTGAGAGGTAGGGGGTTATTTCAGCTAGGCAGCAGCATTTAAATAAAGGCCATGGCTGCTCACAGCCCGATATGAGACAGGGAGACAGTAAGAAGAGGGCTGGGGTGGACTGGGGAGGACCTGGGGAAGTTGTGGGACATCCTGTCAAGTAGAGAGGAGCCTTTAAGGCTTCTCGGGGTTTCCACAGGTGCTGATGGCTGGCTGGTGGGACAGGCATCAGAGCAGATATGGAAACCTGCCCAGGGGGGATCCTGCCCACTTTGGGGGCTGACACCATGAAGGAGATGCCCAGAGGAGACAGCATGATGATCCCAGGTAGGAGCTGAGCCTAGAACCTCCTATTGGGCTTGGCAGGGCTTGGCATCTGGATTGAGAGCCATTGGGTCTGAGTACCCGGGGAGTGTGGTGAGGGGTGTGTTGGTGGTGTTCAGGGGCAGAGCCACTGGGTCTGAGTACCAGGGAGTGTTGTGAGGGGGTGTGTTGGTGGTGGTGTTCAGGGGCCTGGGTGAACCCAGAGGCTCACTCAAAGCCCTTCATGGCTTTGGTGCTCAGCAGTGGGTGAAGCCCAGCCACTGACCACAGGTGATGGAGGATCTCACTGTATTGAATCTGGAGATGGGACCCAGACTTCAGGGCGATTGTGAGGTCACAGAGCTATTCATCAGAGAAATTCAGTTGGGGGGGGGCTGGAGCTCTGCATGCCGTATATGAGAAGGAAGAACCCACCCTCACTTGTCCAGGTTCGTCCATTGAGTCTTAAACACTGGTCAAGTGTCACTGAGGCAGTTTTTAAGTGATGCCTTTGGTTTGGGAGTCCTGGTGGGCTGCCAGGGAATGAAGGGTCTCCTCAGTGTCATTTAAAGCAGAGAATGACAGAGTGCTTGGCCACAGAGACCCCCCAGGGTGCTCATGCTGTGGATTATAGTCTGTAACGGGTGTCACAGAGCTTATTAGATGCACAGCAGGAACCCCCACAGGAAACATTATTTGATGTCTGTGACTTGGGAAATTCGTGACAGAGACATGGGTTTTATGAGGCTGTTAAAAAACACCTCTCTCCTCATGGGAAGGTAGTCAAGAGCTCAGGCGGGAGGCACAGCTGGGGTAGACTCCATGGGAAGAGACAGGTATGCATTCATTCCTCCTGAGCTGAAGGTGGGATCCCTGGAAGTACAGAAATGTTTAGAATGCCCCAACAAGGACCGTTTATAAGCATTAAAAAGCACCAGACAGGGTAGAGCTGGCTGCTTCCT